GCCAGAATTAGCCCGCAGCTGGCTAATCCAGGGACTAGGCTACACGGTAGGAAACCACCCGTCTCACTCATAATTTCAGCTACACAATCAACTTTATCGAGTTTCCATGCAGAGGCAGGAAATCGTCACCCTTGTGCTTTAGCACGTGGGTAGTCTCCTTCAGCATCAAGGCACTTAAAGTTAGGACCAAAAAAACCAATAAACCGAATAAGGAGTGCATTTTTCAGAGGCACTTCAGTAATCAATGTGAGCAAGTAACTGATCTAGCCCGGCAAAGATTGACGGATGCAAAAGCAAGAAATGCTGACTTCACCCGATGGAGCATGTGTACTGCGTGTCTGCGTATTGGTTGGCTTCCGTTGCCTGGCGTTACGCATTGCCATAGTTGGCTGTATGGGACATAAAAAAATCTGAAATAGGCAGAAGAACATTACAGAGAAAGACAAGGAGGCTGAACTGGTCGTTTCTGGCTTATTAGCCGTCATCAGCGAGCCATACCCAACCCCGGGTGGTGCACCACCCGAGGCTTGAATTCTTGACGTGTTGACTAGAAGTCCAACGCTCTAACCGGTGAGACACGCGATCTTGGAGCCTCGGGATTAGTAGTGGTTGGCTGATGACGGTTAATAAGTCAGAAACGACCAGTTCAGCCTCCTTGTCCTTCTCGGTAATGTTCTTCTGCCTCCGGTCTTCTCGAATTGGTCATGATATCGGGAACAGGTGGGGAGAGAGTGTGCGGTAGATGCAACGCAAGTCAACCAAAAATTAAAACCAGTCCACGTCTAATTCACCGCGATTATCTCCAGCCTGTTGAAGCATGCAATGGACATCCTGGAAATCTACAGCCGAACTGGCAGTGTTCTTCTGCCTATGGTACTTGCCACCGTGCGGCTGCTGACAGGGCTCGAGAGTGAGCTCCGAAGCAGAACAGGACAAGCTAGTTCCGTAACCAATCGATGAGTATCTATCCATTCATCCAAGAACCTGAAATTGCCGTCGCTGTCATTGCTGTCCATCTGACTCCGGCTGCGCTAATAATATCATTCGTCTTACTCAGGAGATTAAAAGGCGGAACTTTCAAAACCGGTTTATCAACCAGAAAGGGAAAGCTGGGGGACCCACTGATGAGCCGAACCCCTCGCAGCTGTGTTAAGCAGCAGCAGAATACCGGCGAAACACTGTCTGGGTCTTTTAGCAAGTACCTAGGCCGTTAGTGTGGTAAGTTACAACATCATTCGTCTATTTGGGCACAGATTGTAATCAAAATCAGCTTGGATTAGGCACGGAAGTACGAGCCACTCTATTATGGGTGACTTTGCGCTTGATTTCAGAGGTACATATTCCCCAAACCCAACCCTAACGTTAAATCTCCAACCCCTTCCACTAACGCTAACCCCAACCCTAGCCAAACTCCTCCTCCTGCAATTTAGTTCAAGATAAATTAGAACCGTCCCCTACCTGCATTTGCTTGCTTGCTTGCTTAATACACTCCAGTGGAAGTTCGAAAGAACAGAGGTCAAAACTGGCAATGACCCAACAACATGCGGTTCGGTGAGGAGCAGACTGCCAACCTACCAACAAAGCCGGGTTTGCAGTCGCATTTGTACTGTCGATTGGGCAGTTCCGTGCAGTATCCGCCATGGAGACAAGGCTGATGGGCGCAGGTCAGGGCCTCTTCAGTGCAGTTCTGGCCGCCCCATCGGTCGGTGCAGGAACAGTAGTAACCGCCAGAATCGAGGTCGGTGCAGGTGGCTCCATTCTTGCAGGGATTTGAGCGGCAACTCAGTGGCTCCGATTGTAGCGATAGTTCTAAAGAAGATGGACAAAAAGGAGCCTGAGTTGGAATACGGTGGGGGGAGGTAAAGCTTACAGGAAGGTGCACTGGAAGGAAAAATGCTGGAAAATTCGACTGCTGAGGCCCACTGTGTACCCTACAGTAGCGTGGACTGTGAAATGCTCATGACTTCGTTTACAGTGATGGTAGACTTTCGCAGCACCTACCGCACTCACTTTTCACCCATCTGAGCCTAGTATCATGGTTAAATCAATAAAAGCAGAGACTGGATCGGGCACAGCTAAACAACCCGTCTACGCGTGCCACACACGACATGGTCTGCACAAAATAGACCTGGGTTTCACGGAAAGGAGAGGCTCGGAACCCACCGACTGGAAGTGCCATAGAAGCCAAATTTAATGAGCTATCGCAGACTGATCCTCCGTTCACCAGTCGGCAACTCCAAGCAAACACACCTTGGGATACCTGTGAAACCAAAGATATCCCGTCGGTTGACAGCCTTCCAAACCACAGC